ATAATTATATTTGGACCTGACGGGTCCATTTATTAAATACCCGAAAGTTTTGGGTCGGTTCGGGTATCTTCAGAACCGAACCGAACCGACCCATGGACAGCCCTATTGTTGATCATGGTTTTCATACAAAAATATTGTTAAAGTGCTTTAAAATGAGGGTCAAATATTGAATCGCATTTTTACATTATTATTTATTTGTTTTGCCTATTCAGCCCCTGTTTATTTTATTCTTTCAAAACCCATTTTTATATATACACACTTTCAAGCACACATTTACACAATAAAATATTCTACACGTAAATCCAAACTTTTTCCCACTTTTTAACCATAAATTCTCCAAAAAATTACTATTCAAAATAATGTTTTTCAAAAAAAAAATGACCACCAAACACAGGCTGAAAATATAATAGGCAAATGAGTCTTTTTACTCTTAAAAAAAATCTTGGAGAGAAATCAGGAAAAATTTATGTTAATTTGAGAATAAAAATGTGATGAAAAATAGTTTGAGATATAAATATGATAATGTGTAAAGATTATGAACTTTTCATGTAATTAAAATGTAGTCTAATTATTAAAAATTGTGGTGTGAATAAATTTAGCCCTTGATAATTTCTTGATTGGAGCACTTGAAGATTATTAAACAGGATAAATTGATTGAAGTAGGAATCTAATCTTCTCTCTCTGAGTCTCTATTTGATAAGAGTGATTGAAAATAATGTACTACGAATGGGGACAGAGACGGAATGTCTTCCATTAAGACAAGTTGATTTTAAAAAATCCTATTTGTCTTCTTTGATAATCACAATATAGGATATCATTAATCTTCGGTTATGTAACAGAATTTCTTATTTTTAACGGAAAAACTAACGGAATTTGTTGTTTTAACGGATTATGTAACGGAATTTCTTGTTTTAAACAGGCAGCTACACATATTTTCAGTATTTTTATCATAACTTTGTATTCCGATNTTTATTTACACAATTTTTTCTGAAATTCATTAGGTAAAGAATCGTAAATTTCATATTACGACTTTAGATTTCTTCTATATACTATATATATTAAAAGTGGCTATGTAACGGAATTTCTTATTTTTAACGGAAAAACTAACTGAATTTGTTGTTTTAACGGACTATGTAACGGAATTTCTTATTTTAAACAGGCAGTTGTACCTTCGTTCAGTGTTTTTATCATAACTTTGTATTTCGATGTCCGATTGAGCCGATTCAAAATGCGTTGAAAAGCTAACTCATCTGGCTAAATTGATTGAAGTAGGAATCTAATCTTCTCTCTCTGAGTCTCTATTTGATAAGAGTGATTGAAAATAATGTACTACGAATGGGGACAGAGACGGAGTGTCTTCCATTAAGACAAGTTGATTTTAAAAAATCCTATTTGTCTTCTTTGATAATCACAATATAGGATATCATTAATCTTCGGTTATGTAACGGAATTTCTTATTTTTAACGGAAAAACTAACGGAATTTGTTGTTTTAACGGACTATGTAACGGAATTTCTTGTTTTAAACAGGCAGCTGCACCTTCTTTCAGTATTTTTATCATAACTTTGTATTCCAA